AATAATTTTGTCCTACTGCAGAGTGGCATGCAGGAGACAAATGTGTCAGTGGCATGGAGGTAGGTGTAAAGTATTTTACTCATCTTCCCCATATACTGATTGGAGTCCTTCTATAACCACCACTGCTGCCTCTAGCACCCTTGTATCCAACCCTGGTTAGGCATGCAGTCCATGGGCACTTATTGTAAACCCTCAGATTCTCTTTATTTCTTTCAAACTATCTTAATTTGTTTGTGTTCTGTCCATCAATTTTCTCTTTTGATGCTTTTATAATGGATCTTCCTGAGGACTGTATAGAGCACATGTGGGATCACTGGTTTGTAAAGGTGCTGTAATAGCAGTAATTTCTAACCGTCTCATGTAACATGTCTTCAGTCTATGACTGTCTTCTGAAGCACATCTCCGGAATCCAACAACTCTTGTGGCATGTCTGCAGTCTTTGACCATCTCCTGTAGTATGTCTTCAACATCACATTCACAGAATATTACGTGCAGCCCCAGATATACAGGTGAAACTCGAATAATTAGAATATCGTGCAAAGTTCATTTATTTCACTAATGCAACTTAAAAGGTGAAACTAATATATGAGATAGACTCATTACATGCAAAGCAAGATAATTCAAGCCGTGATTTGTCATAATTGCGATGATTATGGCTTACAGCTCATGAAAACCCCAAGAACCCCAAATCCACAACCTCAAAAAAGTAGATTATCACATGCAATCAATAAAACAAGGATTGTACATAGAACAATATCGGACCTCTGAAAAGTACAAGCATGCATATGTACTCAGTACTTGGTTTGGGCCCCTTTTGCAGCACTTACTGCAATTACTTTTGCACGATATTCTAATTATTCGAGTTTCACCTGTAAAGGCCCCCAACATAAAGTCAGTTGACCACCACTTCTCTAGCGCCAGCCTAATGGGCCAAACTGTATCTTAGTCTGGATAAATGTATGTAGACGGACTGAAAGAGGCATAGACAGGTTCTGCAGAATATCTAAAACAAGCTTTCCAGCATAAAGAATTAGTGGCAGCAGTGTGATGTATTTCAGATGTTCCATTCCAGCTGTTACACTGCAGCTGAATCTCAAGCACTGAACAGCACCAAATCTTGTACTTGGAACTATATCTAAAGCCAGAAGCTGCTTCTGGCAGAAAAAGTCTGAACAGAATCCACAGTTCACTGAGAAACTTGTCATCTAGCCACCATAAAATATGGAGATACGGCAAGAGAAGTATTTGGCAAGGTCAGTAGAGTGCATTGGATTCAGTTACGTGGAAATAGACCCATATGTTTATGCAAGCTTTCACAGCTCAAGCAGGAAACCTGCAGCGTTATTAAGAAAGGAGTTGTAAGAAAAGATTCCAGAGCTATTGTTTCCAGAGAATTGTTTACTTCTGTAGTCACTCGTTAAGCTTGTTGGGTTTGTTGTATTTTATTGAGTTACACAGAACCCTGATGCTGGAAAGCAGAGCATTACAAGCTTAGATTTATGTTATTATTATCCAGTCACTTTTGATTTCTGCACCAAGATTGGAAAACTTGCTGAACTAGAAATAACAGCAGGAGATCAGTAACACTTGGCAAACCACAGGAGCCTCATCCGTCACAATATCCATGAGAGGTGTCTCGTGGACAGTCTGAATTGCCTCACAGTAACCAATTAGATTCAACCTTTGCAGTAGAGCAAAATCATATGGAGAATGTTGGAGCAGTTGCTCTGGAAAGACAAAACCAATGTAAGACAAAGGGGTTAATTTACCATCTTGTCTTGAATTGTATTGTGATTGTAATGTCTTCCTTATATTGTGAAGCGCTGCTCAAACTGCTGGCGATATATAAATCCTATATAATAATAATTATAATACTATGCAAGGGACTTTTCCCCAAGCTTTAGAAATGAGGTGAAGATCTGCTGACTTTCATCACCCAATCACATTTAAGCAAAAATGCTGTTTTTTTTAATTTTCTTTGCATGTGATCGGGTATTCTTTGCAAAGCGAATTTTCACCACATTCCTTAAAAACTGAAAAGCCTATTTGCCTTTATGAAATAAATCCCAATTATTCAGTAGAACAGTGCAAAATGAGGGCAGATGGGTCCAAAACCTCATAAGACTTTCTCACTGTATCTACCACTCCCAGTATGCCACCCAATATGTGTTTCTGGTGCAGTGTTTTAAAGTCTACACAGCCAAGACAATCAATTTCACTGGTGGTTGCAGAAATTACAACTGTCCCAGCCAAAGAGGTTGGATGGGCTGCAGCCATAACATCACCTAAACCTACAGTATGGAATGGAAGCCCTCCACACAATGTTTCTGTATATGGGGAAATGTCCAAGAATACCTACAATTAGCTTGTCTATTCCCGGGAATAAAATATTTAGAAAAGAAAAAATGAGCCATCCTCTGGAATCCTATCCCCCGAGACTCCCACCCTGCCTTTTCCCTATTTTTTTCCTTTCTCTTTCTTCTTTTCCATCCTTCCCCACTCTATCTTTTCCTATTTTTTTCATGCCTTGGTCTATAGTTTTTTTTCCACCTCTTTGTTTCCATACTCCAAATTCTTACTACTCGCCTCCCCTAACTGACATATTTACCTTAAAAAGCTTTTGCAGCCTACAATGTTGAGTCAAAAGCAGATATACATATTGCGCCCCTTGAGTAATTTTTGACTTTTGCAACCTTTAGACTTGGAATACCCTACTGCTGCTCTCTTGTACCATACCTTTACATTTTGTGTTCCCGTACTCAGGAAGAGTATATGTCATTGTGTTGTGAATATATTCGAGATAACTCAGTTATACCGGCTTTGCTGTATGTTCCTTTCCTAATAAACAATTTGTGGAAGAAAAAAGGAGCCATCCAAGAAGAAAGACGATGACATAGTCATGCTGCTACTATGATGACTTTTGCTGAAGAACTTTAGTTCAGTAAGGTATGCTCCTGTTGTGCCACCTTGGAAAATGCAGGTGTAAATACTCTTACACTTTGCTTACTGTTCTATGGTCTTTGATTGCTTGGCATCGTAAGTAATTTAGATATGGCCGGTAAATGGGAATTATGGGGAGCAATTGTCTTCTGTAGCAAACACTTGCATACACTACTTTATACAGCACTAACTGGAAAAGAGGGTTGCGGTAAGGAATGTTCATGAAAACTGCACTTTACCCCTTTCAAGACTAATGCTAGGTAACAGTCTAAATGTGAAAAGGTTTGTTATATGACCATGAAGACTGTGATCAATTTGTAGACAGGATAAATACTGTACATACAGCTTTTCATGATAAAACATAAAAAGTATCGTAGGACTCTGGCTGCATAAGTGGCCCAACTGTAATGTTTGTGGACATGATAGATACAAAAAGCTTTTGCCAATGAAATGTACGGGTCATTGCTGCATCAATAATTAAAGGGACTCTGTCATCAACCTGAAAAATTGCATGTAGAAGCTGAAAAGTCAAGTATTATAATTGCGTGTATCTTTGAACTTGCTAGAAAGTTTGACTACTCCAGGAGAATCAATTGCCTAGCACAGCCCCCTCCCTCCTTGCAATTTGCATCCCTCTATTCTTCTGCAAATGTCTAAATAGCCTCTGTGCTGGCCCAGCATTTCCGTCCCTTCCCTCATCCCCCTTTTACTTTTACATAAATGCTGGGGGAGATGCAAAGTGGAATATTACAGAGTGTCATTTGACACTTGGCTGCTGACATCACATTCAAGATTGCAGCAGTAGCCAGCAGCAGTCTTGGGGCTTTTGGTTCTAGACAAGGGGGACATTTACTGATAAATAATATGCATAAAATACATCAAATGCACATATAGTCTTATGGGAAGATTTTGCTGAAATGAATGGTCTGTCAACAGGGTCTCTTTGAAGAAAACGCATATGCGGCTGTAATAGGAAAATAAAGAAAACAGAAATCCTGCTATAAAGCTACCAGACAGCTTTAGGCAGATGTGTAAGTCACCATTTCCACATATGTACAAAACCCAATTCGACATTTGGAATTGCTGTGCTAGAAAAAGAAAGGCACTTGTGACTGGAAGTAGCCTTCATTGTCCCGTCTCTCTTTCTACCTGTCCTGATCAATTACTGTGAAGGCAGACAGAAATTTGAGGCAGGAGAAGAGCTGTGCCGGTAGACACTGCTTCTGCCACTGCCACTTTTGTCAGAAGGGAATAGGATCTAAACAGGTTTTCTAACCTTGCCGTTTAATGTCTCTCCCAAAAAGCAGTCATACAGCAAATGTCTGCCTGACACCTTAGACTCAAAATTGCCACCCAATCCAGTTGATTGTCATCTTAAATATATGAGCAGTTTAGGTTTGTATAATGGACATGATTTGCCACAGTCCCAATATATATATATATACTGTATACCTTTAAAGCATATCTGCAACCAAAACTTTTTTTTTAGCTTGGATAGAGTGTGAAAGGTTTAGAACCCCCGTAAGGTTTTAATTGCTGTTTAATTGCTCTATTTGTTTAGGTAACTATTGTCACCGGGATGGGAAAACAAAAATGTTATGGTTGTCGCCTAAACTGGCAGTGAGGGAAAATCTTTGCATGGGCAATCCTATTTTGGTGACAATTGTCCAAGAGGGTATTTTTTTTTTAATTTTCTTTTTGTTTTAGAAGAAATATCAAAAGGGAAATGTTCCCAATGGTACACAGACTGCAAATAAATCTCTATCTCTATCCAACACTGAAAAAAACAGTTTGGGCTATGAATAATAATTTTGCTTTTGTTTTTTGTGATTGTTCTTTTACACAGACATGGAATTTTTAGACACTAAAACAAGCTTCTTGAATAAGACTCAAATGCAGTAACACAAGAACACATCAGAATTCAGATTTCACCGATCTAGCTCAAGTAAACTGAAATCTGTTTTGTTATGGGTTACTGCAATTTGAACATCATCATTGCTCTATGAACTGTTTTCTCAAGCAGCACAGAGTCTTCAGAGGATTTCAAAATATACAGTTAAAAAGATAATAGACAGATTTCTTTACTGCAAAAATGTACTGGATTTACAGGAACTTTAGATAGTTTGGTCCTCAAGCTGTGACAGAAGGATTCCAAAGAGTAAAGTGCTAAAGCAGCTTGTATTGCATTATGTCTTCAAGTTCTTCCAGTTTCTAACTATTTACTAAAATGGAACACTTCTCCTCTGCAGTGCCATCAATTCTCTTTGCTTTTCTTTCTGCTGTTCAGTCACTACATCTGATGTATTAGAAACATTTCTTGGCTCCTTTTCCTTCATCTCCTGAAGAACTTCAGAAGCTTCTTGAAGTTGAGCCATCAGATCATTCAGAATTATTTCTGGATTACACTCCACCCCATTTCCTTCAGCAGTCTTTCCGAGCTTGCCCATCAAAATTTGGTTTAGCAGAGTCTTTGTTCTCTCCTTTCCACAGGCTAGATTCATCTCCACTTGATTGAAATGGTCTTTAGTTAGATGTACCATAGTGCTGTCCTTACCTGTTTCATTTATTGGGGATAAGAGGTCTCCCATGGAAGATGCTTTCAATTTGCTTTTAATGTGATGTGTTTGTGTTGTCACATGGCCAGTTTTCTTTTGATGCTTTACGTATCGGACCTTCTTCTCATCAGTAGGTTGTTTAGTATGCTGTTCTTGAACATCACTTGTTAGTGTATCATTCTTCTCTATCTCATGTTTTTCTTCATGCTCATTACTTTTACATATACTTTCTGCAGGCGTCTCCTGAAGAGCTCCTTCGTCTGTGTCCACATCATTCAGATGCTGGGACAACCTCCAACTTTCTTCTTGAGAGCTATTCAAGCTACTTCTTAACTCCTTTGTTTGTAAGTCTTCTAATGATTCTGCTTGATATGAAATTGATGGGGTTTCCAGCTCATCAGACTCAAAATCAACCAAGTTCTCTTTGCTTCCTCTCTCCTCTGATATGATGTCCTCTTTCTCCTCCGAGTCTGATGATGAACCAACCCACTTTATCTTCATCTTGTCAGAAAGAATTTTAGGAGGAGGTTTGGGAGGAGAACTCGCCACTTCATTCAGATTTTCTGTGCTCTCGTTTGGAAGGACCTTGAGTGTTGAATTTTCTTCCATGCTTGTCTGTTCATTTTCAGACAGTAGCTTCTCACGAGCATATACATTTCCTTTAAGACTTTTTGCAGGGGGAAGTGGTGCTAGAGGTGCTTGAACTTCACTGTCTGTTGTGTCAGAAACTGTGGTCTCCAAAGCTTGGGTAGGGTTTTGCTTTCTGGGTGGCATAGGGATCTTTACAGGTTCCTTCTGAGGTTCTGGCTCTGTATCCTTAGGCTTGGGCATTGGGGGAACTACTGTTAATATTCCAGTGTCCAGCGCCTCCAGACCCAACCTTAGAGAGTCATCAGTAGCTGCCTCTGCCACCTGAATAAAACAGTTAAAAAAATCAATGATAAAAGTTATGACAACAAAATGTCAACTGCATACATGTCTGAAATTACATGTCCTCAGGTTAGTTCACTAGAAAGTGATAATAAGCATATCCAACAGTTGGTACTGGGGACACTGGGGACGGTCCCCATCAGGCATTATTTGCATGCTAACATCATTCTTTCACAATCTTAATAGCTGCCTTTTGCTTTTCAGTTACATGTCAATAAGGGACATGTCTCTGTTAAATCCGGATACCAGTAGTCTAGGAACAGTAGTCATAACCATTGCTTCCTCAGTCATTTCCATTTTTTTGAATAATAATATGTGTGTCCCCCTACCCCACTGCTACCAATACCACTAAATAATGTATTAGCTCCAGGATTTAATGTTTCATATAGACATCATAAAATCTCTGCAGTATAAAGGCAACAATCAATGGCATCATTAGTCATTCTGCAGTGAGTTCAACATGCTTCCCTGGGTCTGGTCTTATGGCTTGTAACTGGTCACTTGAGGATAATGGTTTACATCTGACAGTATGGCCGAGTGACTACCACTGCAGCAACACGAATTCAGACATCTTTCTTTCTAAAGTTGATTTCTGTCACATACCTCTTTGAGATGAATCCTGGTGGGGGGTCTTCTCTTTGTTGCCCCAACTTTAACTCTGTCCCGGGTCACATGTTCCAAAGAGCACGAAGTGTCTATCTTCACCTGTCCAACAAATATACATGTCCTAATTAGGTCATCCTAATGTTGACTGCCATCTTTACAGGCTAAAAAAAAAACTATGTTGCAATATATAGTCTAAGGGCTTGTTTATACCTGGAACTATGGAGCTGTGTGGGCAGCATTTCCCTGCACAGTTCTAATGCAAAAATAAGTTGATAAATTGTCTTGTTTACATTCAGCTCAATTCACCCCGCTGTGATGCATGCGTGGCATGCAGTACATTTTTCAGCACAGCGTGGTGCGACGCAGTCCACCATACCACACTGTATTGTGGCAGATAGGACTGAATACAATGTCACTTGTGACTTTCAGTAAAGTTCTAACAAAAAAAAAAGTAAAGACTCCGATGCTCCACAATCGGTGCATCGCCACTACTCCTCCTAATGCACACCAGTGGAAATGCATTTAACACAACTGACTGTTGTGAACAAGCCCTAGAGGAGCTGCAGGAGGACCTGATGGTTAATCATCATACATTTTTCTTTGGAGCAGCATAGTCACGCACTGAAGAGTATTCCCATCTCTTTTAACCTTTATATTCAGTGTAGAACATTTGCATGTGGACATATATTCATATTTTAAATGGCTAATAGAGCAAGTAGCTGATTAAAGTGTATGTCAAGCCAAATACTTTTTTCCTAGTTTCAGATAGAGTGGGGAAGGATTAGAACCAGTAAGGAAGTGAGGAAAAATCTGCAACAGGAACACATACAGAAATAAAAATTTGGTACCGAGTATCGATAATTTTTTTTTCGGTACTCACCGATACCAATTACCGAGTAACGGAAGTCCCATTCAGGAAGCCAGATGGCGTGTAATGACTCCCCACCTGGATCCCTGATTAGCCGGGAAGCCGGGCAGCGTGTAAAGACTCGCCACCCGGCATCCCGATTAACAAGAAAGTCTGTCCCCTCTTACATTGGTATGTCCAACCTGTCACCCCCGGGGCCTCTCCAGCCAGAACGCGGCCTTCCTCCGGTACCCAGCCGGCCAATCAGGAAGCAGGGGGCCGTGTAATGACGCGACTGTGACGATGATGGGGGATTTGAGTCTGAATATTGCAGAATAGAATTTGTTTGTTTTTCCAGTCAGAGCACCTGCAGGTCTTCTGACAGTCTGACAGGCAGCCATCCTAATGACAGAGGAGACTGTGCATGTCTCCTCTAGGGATGAGCTCAGGTTTGGACCGAGCCCAGTCCGAACCAGAGCTCCTCCAAACATGGAAGGAGCCCCTCCCGAACAATGGAAGTGAGCTTCTCCTGTGCCACCCAATCAGCTGCTGGTGGGGAATTCCCTGCCCCCAGCTTGACATAAGCAAATGGGCCGGATGCAGTGACATCATTGACCTTAAATGGCTACATGCCTACATTTGGTAAATTACATTTACCTAACGTGGCTATATGGCCATATTGGGTAAATGATGTCAGCACAAGCATCCGGCCCCTTTGTTTACATGCAAATGCAGGGCGGAGAATGCCCGTGCTGCAGGAGATTGGGTGGAAGTACCCATGGCACTTCCTTGTTCAGGGGAGCTCTGAATGGGATCGGGTCCGAAGCAAAACTCATCCCTAGTGTCTTCTGTCATTGATGCTTCTACCTACCTGTCAGCACATTTTTCTGTTTATGTATACTTGTCTTGGTTTCTGTGTTGGGACATGTGCAGAACTTATGTCATCTTGGCCCAACCAATCAAGATGGCTGAAAACTCCAAACCTGGAAGGTGAAGATGGAAGCGCCAATCATGAAGGGGAGCGTGGATATCGCATTACTGTCGGGGATTCCTTTGTTGGATAGTGTACCATAATGCACTGCACTTACTTTTCTAAGTGAAAATGCTCCAGGGCACAAGTTTGAATTTCACTTTTACGGTTTACTTCCGTGTTAGCAACAAGTTGTTTGTACACTGGGGTGGAAAACTCTGGCCCTCCAGCTGTTGTGGAACTACAAGTCCCATGAGATATTGCAGACTGACAGTTACAGGTATGACTCCCTGGGCAGAGGCATGATGGGATTTGGAGGGTAAGTACAGCTGTAGGGCCGGAGTTGCCCACCCCTGCTTTACACCATGTTCTTTTCTGCACTACTTGTTAATAATGAATAATACTTAAAGGAGAACTATGGGGTCAGTGTTTTTCCCCATAGTTCTCCTTAGGGTAACGGGAGGACACAAACTAGCGTCCTCCCGTTACCCTAAGCTCAGTATACCGCGAGCTACAGCTCGCGGTATACTGAGACGCGGCAGCCGGAGCGGATCCCGACGTAGATGACGGGATCCGCCCAGCTGCGTGAGTGACAGCTGGCTCTGCCTATCTAGAGGCAGAGCCAGCTGTACCCGCCCCCTCCCCCGTCCGTTCCGCCAGTCAGCGCTGGCAGATCGGAGCGGGGAGAGGGGAATCCAGCCCCTCCCCCTGTCACGGCAGAGAGCCGTGACAGGATCGGAAGGTGAGCGAACCCGGTATGTGTTCGCTCACCTCCCGATCTACTGAGCCGACCTGTGACAGTCTCATTGTCACAGATCGGCTAGAACTATGAGGTGAGTGGAAATCACTCACCTCATAGTTCTCCTTTAAGACATCGCTAGCTAAAATATATCACACCTACAACTCAAGAAAAGAACAAATGTACTCTAATCCCACACAAATAAAGCTTTAGGAGGAACTATATCATCTGAAGAAACAGCTTCTTCTTTCAGAATTATGTATTCAAATTTCTGGCAGAACTGTATCTGACAAACATCTCTTTATGTTAACAGTTGCTTCACATTTACCAAAGTATTCCCTAAACGTTGCCCCTCCAGCTGTTGTGAAACTACAAGTCACATAAGGCATTGCAAGACTGTAGCAGCGACTGGCATGACTCCCAGAAGCAGATGCATGATAAGATTTGTAGTTTCACCACAGCTGGAGGGCCGAAGTTTGGATACCCCTGCCCTAGAACATCCGATTTCTTTTTTTTTAAATTTCCCCAGATGTCCTATTCTATTACGGGTTTGGATCTGAGTTTTGTGTGGGAACATAGCCAAATCCTCTTTTTGATTTACCCATATTTACCCATAGTAACCAATCAGCTTCTCTCTTCAGTTTGTTCAGTGAAAGTACAATTAAAGTCTCTCTTTTATTTGGCATATATCTACTGCTAGTAGTAGATATATACCCCATGATTTGGGCAAATAGCTAATTACTTACCCGTTCCAGCGCCGCTCGCTCCCGGCTGAAGAATCCACTAATTACTTACCTGTTCCAGTGCCGCTAGCTCCCGAACGGCTGTGAAGAAGTGTGTGGGCGCATGCGCAGTAGAGCGGAGGGTAGAAAACAGACAAACATGACAGTAAATGGACGTAGCCAGGAGTGCGTACATCGGACAAACTCCGTCGGACACAAGGAGTCTGCGGTGGATCAGAGACCGGCACCAGCACTGGAGGGACTGTCGGAAATGGGTGGAAGGAAGAAGATGGTCGCAGCAAGAGGCATCAAATAAGGTAAGTGCGCACAGCAGCATTGGGGGAAAAAAAGTTTTGATAAATCCCCCTATTGCTCCCACCCGACAGACGAGTGTGAATAACCCATACCTCATCTAGGACCTTGTTTTTGCCCCGGTTGATGCCATCATTCAAGGCTTGGATCCATGCGTCTCGTTCCTCTGCATTTTTAGCCTGAAATTTGACATCTTGCACCTGGGACATAATAACATTAATATGAGTGTGTACATTGAACAGAAGACAATGAAACAAGCAATAACTGGATGCGGATGGCAGGAAGAAGCTGATCACCAACATTAACATACTGACACACTTTCCAAAAAATCCGACTTTCCTCATCCTCCGCTGGCAGGGGGCCTTGTTTGTAGAGTTTACATGACATCACACTTTAAAATAACAGTATTAATCTGTTTCCTTCAATATGCTTACTGGAACTTTATGTATACAAGCAGCTACTGAGATTCTAAAAGAAACATTTCCTGGCAATGTTCCTGGAGCATCTTGTTTTTCCAAAGATTTTCGTATTATTTCTATACCAAGGAACAATACATAGACGTATATCTATATAGACGTCCCTTTTAGGGAGATTCCCCCTCTCTATTTGTCCTAGTGATCGTTATCACCAGAAGTGAAGGAAAATCACAAATTTTGGGTTGTCACCAGAACAGGAATAGAGGGGAAAATCTTCCAATGGAGACACTAGTTCTGCTGACCACCAGGGATTTCCCTCACTTTGAAGAGAATTTCTTTCATGGCTAGCTGACAGGAAGTGAAGGGAAATCTCCCCAATGGAACACACAGATGACAAGGTTTTGGCTTTACAGTACATATACTTAAAAGTAAATCTGTCGCCATTTTTTTAAATAAAGTTTTGGATTGAGTTAAATAGTATAGTATATAACAGAAAAGTAACATTTCCTGTTTTCTTTTTTTCTTTTTTAATTTGCTGTGTCCCTTTGGGCAGCACCTCATTTCTTGTCTTGCAACCAGCAAGTGGGAATCTCTCCAAAAGTATTCTCTTACATGCAAAAATATTTTACACCCACACCCTGGCCTTTCAATTTATTTCTTAAACTCAAAAGTAAAAAATGCAAAGGGGGCAAGTTATCAAAACTGGAGCAGACAGAATCTGGAGTAGTTGCCCATGGCAACCAATCATCATCTCTCTTCAGTTTGCTCAGGTAAGATTTGAAAATGAGACAGAAAAGCTGATTGGTTGCTGTACAAATCTGCTCCAGATTTTGTCTACTCCAGTTTTGATGAATTCACCCCAGTGGCTCTTGTCCTTCATAGCGAGGTTTCAAACCATGACCGACTCTTTACCAAGCTACGAGCAACTTCTCAATATATCACACACACAAGCTATTTAAATAATAGGCCAATCAGCACCTGAGGGAGTACTGTACTAACCAATGGGAAGGAAGAAAAAAAACGGACCTCAAGGAAACTTACACACCTGTGTCATGGCATACAGACCCTACAAACTGCCACCTTCAAAGAAGCTGTCAATCAAAAAAGCATCAAAGGATGCAAGGAGCAAGTAGCAAAGGAGGGAAATCCCCTCTTAGACAGTTGTCACTGGCACAGGGGAGAAGTGAAAGGGGAAAAGGGAGAAGTGAAAGGGGAGAAGTGAGGGAAAATCAGCAGTAGGGACATAGCCAGAATAAAATCTAGCCTTCCTCTCCTGTATTAAAGTGTTTTATGTCTGTCTGTCTTGATGTTGGAGAGTTTCCTCACTTCCTGTCTGTAAATCATTGCAAGCAGGAGAGGAAATGAGTGAAAGCAGAACAGGAAGTGAGGAAAAAATCTTCTAACGTAGTCCCAGTTATCAATAATAACTCAGGTCAGTGGAGAAAAATATTCTTTAGACTGTCTTCCAGTGGTTAAACGGATTGGTTTATTTCTTCCACACTATCTTACAAGGCTGTCCATCCCGTTTTCTCTTTTTATTTTATCAAACGCACACGTTAACACATAGGAACGCACCTGCTCTGTGCATGTGCAGTGCGTTGCGGTGCCATTCTTTGCCAATGGTGCTCCAGTGCATTGCCCAGTACAGCCAAATGCTTTTTTTTTAAAAAGGGCCATATACGTTTTTCGTTGTAGCGCATTGGCAGACCATTTTTAATAAATGGGCTCCTTTAATGTAACACACTTTAACGCACATAGACATGTGCTCATTACCGCACAGCAATGGAAGTTTAAATGTACATACTATATATCTTATGGAAGGATTTTTGTTTGAAAGAATGGTCTGGTGACAGGGCCTCTTTAATGACTTTATATATACTGTATGTATATATATATATATATATATATATATATATATATATAACGTCCATAAAGCTTAGTAAACTCACTAAGTGTAAACAAACATATTGAAATGTCAGGACGCGGGCTCACAGGTATAATCTCATCACAGCGTTTACTTTTGTCTTAAAGTTCACTTGCTGCATATTCATTACCTTTGTGCCTGGGGATGGGATCAATGTGAAATGCCTTTTACGCTTTAGAAAGGCTTTTTGGTCCTGACATCTCTCATAGTTGGCAAGCTCCAGTGTCTCCAAACACTTTTGGTCGTCCTGTGGACACAGAAAGATCAACACAACATTAAATGACATGTACGGTATATGGTAGGTGGGGAAATGATCAGTTACTTTAATACATTTAAAAGAAAGCTGGTCAGCTACTTTCAATTCTAATTGGGCTAATAATATTATGCCCCTTCAGGTAGATGTATGGACGCAGGTCCTTATAATGAGGCAGTCTGAGGCTGTTGCCTCTGGCAGCATTTCTTTTGGTCATGTGGGGGCTCCAGAGCGTTCCGGGTTGCTAAGAGTTGGGGAGGGAGATGTGTAAGGTCCATACACATCTCCCCTCACAGCTTTTAGCAACCTGGGACGCTGTGGCTGGTGTGCCGCTCAGCTCTTGGCAACCAGTGAGCTGGGTGGTACACCACCAGGACCCCATGAACAACTCCCCCAACGTGCCCCTTGAACTTGACCACCATGCTCGGTGGATCACATCTACCTGTTTCGCCACCATCTCTCTTCAGTCTTCTTATAATCACCTTTTCTAGCCTTTCCTATGTAATCTTTTACTGGATTTATATGGGATTTATGCCTCACAGTAATAGGTTTCAAGTGACAGAAGTTTCTTTTTTGTCTTTGGCAATGGAAGGGAAAGTCATATTTTATAACATTATCTTCCCTGAGTACCAATTAAGCAGTTGCAGTCAAGATGACAGTTTCCACATAGGAGTATATATTTTTTATCTGCAGGCTTTTTCAGCTTTCATTAAGTGCTATATTGGAACCCAGGAGATTCGGCTGAGGAAGATAAGGAGATGACAGAATGATGCAGTGAAATAGTCAAAGATAATTGTAGTCTTCATAAGTGTCAGCTTTTGAAAGTATATCTTTTTCCCATAAGCAGGCAAAAATGATTAAGAGTCTGGGAGATTATAACTTTCCTACATCTAGATGTAATTTAGCAGCTGCAACGGGGCTGGCTGACAAAAGTGTGGCCCTAAAGGGAGGCTGCACCTTTGTGGTTAAGGTAATTTTGCTGTATAATGTATTGCTGGGATTTGTAGTCCTCTATAGCTGATAGTATTATTAGCATACCATCAGTTATAGAAGGCAACAAATTAGGGATGCACCGATACCGGTATTTTGGTATCGAGTGCCGATATTATTTGTTCCGGTACTTGCCAATACCGAATACCTAGTACCGGAAGTCCCATTCAGGAAGTCAGGTGGCGTGTAAAGACTCGCCACCCGGCTTTCCAATTAGCAGGGAAGCCGTCCCCATGCTTCTCGTCACTATGCTTCTCGTCTCGCTGTGTAATGATGCAGCGCCCGGCCCGGAAGCTGGCTCCATGCTCCCTCGTCATGAGGTAACAAGGGAGCATGAAGTCGGCTTCCTGGCCAATCAGGAAGCCAGGCGACGCGTCATTACATGGCGCCCGGTTTCCTGATTGGTCAGGAAGCTGGCTCCATGCTCTCTCGTCACAAGTGACGAGGGTGCATGGAGCCAGCTTCCCAGCCAATCAGGATGCCGGGCAGTGTGCAATGACGCGTTGCCCGGCTTCCTGATATAGGAAGTATCGGGCTAGGCATCGGAGCTTTTGGGCAAATACGAGTACTCGCCAAAATACTCGGCATTGGCACCGATACCGATACTGGTATCGGTGCATCCCTACTACAAATCCCAGCAATACATTATACAGCAATGCAGAATGGCACTGGCTATAGAGGACTGCAAATCTCATCAATACATGATACAGAAATGCAGAATAATATGTTGCTGCATATTCTGTGCTGTTCTGGGGTGCAGATCTGATGTGAAGAGCTGTAAACAGGCACTGTGAGTTCTCCAGCAAACGCTGGAAAATGTAAAGCGCCGATATTGGTTTTTAGCATTGGGGCATCTAACGAGTACTCGTGCTTGTGAAAATGCTCATTATCGGCACCGATACTGATACTGGTGCATCCCTGCTCGCAAGGACAGATCAGGCACCAGCTTCCCAGCCCTCACTACATAGTCCCCACAGCAGTGCTAAACACCAGTTTCTCTCTCTCTTCCACATCCCAGCACAGTTGGGTTCAAATAAGTGGAACTCAAGCTTTACCCCAATGATGACAATTCCGCAGAAGATTTACGAACTGTACGTTTTCCTTTTCTTTTTCAACAAAGTGCCAATACATTCCATATTTTACATTATCAGACATCACTCTCTGCAATTAGGCCAGTGCTTAATTAGCTTCCAAGGTGCGGGTGAACTATCTCCATGGCTTGCATTTCTTCCTTTCTATAGGGTATTCCCTCCTAGAAGGTTGTTAGGACTCATGAGGCAACATGATTTATGACTCTTCTCTACCACGATCTACTCCCCTCTCTCCTTCGTCAAGCCTCACCCACATGCTTTTTTTTAATAACCCAACTCAAGGGACAATGATGGAACCCAAGGGGTGGGACCGCACGTAAGGGAACTAACCCAATATAACACAATATAACATACAGTGCTGGAGCACCTCTGGTAATAGGTTTTAGGTACAAGGGATCCTAGTATTGTTTTTTCTACTTATGTGGATAACTGTGTTTATGTAGATTTCAGTGTCTTTCCATTAGTTCTGATTAAAACAATCTGCCTCTCCATTATGCAGCTCAGTATATACTTGTGCTGGATTGAGCGTGGCTCTGTCCCTGCTGAAGAACTGCCATGTTGTTACAGGAAAGACAGGTGTCAGCCAAATGAATCCAGCAGATCCATTCTGTATAGAAAGCAGATTTATTTCCAGCCCGGCACTGCCAAGTTTCCTTTTACAAGAAAAAAAAGCCCTTTTGGCAGCTGCAGCAGGTGCCTGAAATTCCTCAATGAAGAGGAGACTGATGGTGACAGCCTAGGCCGTGTACCCACCCGGAGACCCATGAGTTTCCAGACATTGCTGAGTTTTCCACACGTTTCCTGGAGGTTTAGGAGATAAATAAATATTCTGGTATAAAGCAGACGCCAATGCCTGTTTGATGTCACAAGATACTGACCTGTACTTTATCTTATGTACTTTTTTTAAACAACTACAAAAATCCTAAAAGTCAACCATCAGTGTCATAAATAAAATTGAACCCACTGCTTGGTGCTTGGTGATTTTGTGCATCACAGTAATCTAGTAAATAAATGACTAGAATATTCCCTCATTTCAGTGGATGACTGTTCATATGCTCAGTGGACAAGCACATTTCATGGTCTTATTCAATATATAACTAACAGAAAATAATAATAAAAATTAACATGTTAGATTTTCAACTGTTATTAGATCCTTTTGCCACGCTCTTGGGGGGACAAGTTATATAAGGTGTTGAGAAGAAAAAAAGCTACAACAATAGAGAAAGCGCACTCCTGTTGGAAGGACACAATACAGGAATGTGGATACAGGGGATACAGGGGAATGGTGTGCAATGCTCCTCAATACAGGGAGAGGAGCCCTGTAGATCACATAAAACAATATACAACAATGGACTGAGAAGCGCAACTACCTGGGTGCGTGTTAATAGGCCTGGTGTAGCTAGCAGTGAAAACTCATATAGATCATGTAGAAATGGTTACTGGGAGCACTGCTGCCCTAGGAATGCTGGTATCTAGTGCATAGAAGACAATGGACTCACAGTTAGAAGGTCTCCTGGCATCTGAGTGGCAATTTCTTGGAAAGGAACTTGGCTCGATGGATGGTTCGCTCTAGTGGTGGATATTGGAAGGTCTGAAGAAAGTGTAAAGTAGTTGAGCAGCCCATGTACTCGGCTGGCCAGGCCGGGCCGCGGCGGCTGGGAGAGAGAGTGTGAGGGAGAGAGAGAGGGGAGCCGCCAACAGCACTGAGGTGCTGGGAGGGCTATACAAGGGATAAAAGTTCTCAGTGGATAGACGGCTACGCGTTTCGAGGGGTTCCCTCTTTTTCAAGCCTCCGGGTAATAGAGACCACGGGAAGCCGGTCTTCTTCTTTTAAAACCGTCTTTTTCAAGCCTCAGGGTAATAGAGACCACGGGAAGCCGGCCTTCTTTTAAAACCAGCTTCCCGCGGTCTCTATTACCCTGATGCTTGAAAAAGAGGGAACCCCTCGAAACGCGTAGCCGTCTATCCACTGAGAAATTCCATCCCCTGTAGAGCCCTCCACGACTTTCGTTTTATTGCGAGACTTCCGAAAACCTTGAGGCAGCAGCCCGACTGTATCACTGAACATACGGTGCCTCAGCGCTGTTTGCGGCTCCCTTCTCTCTCTCTCCCTCACACTCTCTCTCTCCCAGCCGCCGCGGCCCGGCCTGGCCAGCCGAGTACATGGGCTGCTCAACTACTTCACACTTTGTTCAGACTTGCCAATATTCACCACTGGAGCGAACCATCCATCGAGCCAAGTTCCTTTCCAAGAAATTGCCACTCAGATGCCAGGAGACCTTCTAACTGTGAGTCAAGTGTCCTCTATGCACTAGATACCAGCATTCCTAGGGTAGCAGCGCTCCCAGTAACCATTTGTACATTATCTATATGAGTTCTCACTGCTAGCTACACCAGGCCTATTAACACGCACCCAGGTAGTTGCGCTCCTTAGTCCATTGTTCTATATTGTTTTTTGAGAAGAAAAAAGCTACCAATCAGATCTTTGCTTTGTTCTCCAGAGATTGAAGATGACATCTGAATGATCACCATGGACAACTTCTCAACTTTTTCCACAGTTTCTTATCTCAACATTCTTTATAACAATTTTGTTTTCAAATGTAATTAAACAGTTTACACTTTTTTGATCTTTCCATGTGTTCTTCCAGTGGGATTCTCATACGGTCACACACTTTTTAAGGACAGGAGGATGCACGCTCTACTGCAACTGAAGAGGGGAAGGATGAGCTGGATTAAGTTAGGAAAGGGGGCAAAAAGGATAAGTGCACTTGGTTTTAAAGCGCACTTATCCTTTAAAGCTGAACTCGAGGCAAACCGTTAAATACACAAATGAAATACATACAAGGGAGCTGTTTTACCAGACAAAGGATTTGTGTTTCTGTTCATCCAGTCCTGGGATATACCCAGCCAGGTGGATGACTCTACTTTCTCTGTTACAGTTGTGAGCTGTAGAAGGGATACAGCCGTGTCTTCTTTCTACCCCATCCTGCTGACTGGACAGTGAATGGGCAGAAGGAGACTAATGAAGTCACCTCTCTGCTCACTCTGCTTTGTCCTCCTATCACCGCGTTTCTTGTAAGCACATCTCCCAGTCTGATTGCTGCCGCATAGGGGATTGAAAATGGCTGACAGCACGTCAAATTCAAGTGCCTTCACTAGTTGCCTTTAAAATATATTTAAGAAGTGAATCTAGAGCTGCGATTATGTGTGTGTTTTATGCCTGCCTGGAGTTCAGTTTAAGTTCCATGCTGTAATATGTTGTTCATTGAACACTATCGTATCTGAATATTTGGACAGCAATGCCAGGTGTAACCAGCAATCGAGAATGTGTGGTAGGTAAGTAAAGTATGGGTTAAAAAAACCCACCTGAGATTGTTGATCCAGGGGGTATCAGATTGCCTTAGGGGATCAGGAAGGAATTGTTTCTCCTGTTGGAGCAAATTGAACCATGCTTTATAGGGATGTTTGCCTTACTCACCTGTGGGTAAATGTGGGTATGGGGCTATGTTTATGGTGGACTTCATTTATTCTTTTTTGCGCTGTAGGTTGGACTAAAGTAACTATATTTTTTCCCTAGAAAATTGCTTTAACAGTTGTCCATAACCTTTTCAGTTAGAAGGTTCTAAGTAAATTAAATAATACTTTTCAGAGTAAAATGCAACTATGTGCAAAAAGCAGTCAGCAATATAAAACAGTAAATACTAGTTGTTTGCTAATAAGACTGCTGTAAACTGAAATGTGGCAAAGGTGTATTTAGTAGATAGTCACCGCACAGACTTACACTAACGTCCCTAGAGATTGCTTTCTTAGTTCCTCATTGAAAAATGTTCCAGTCGAGGTTTGAAATTTGTTGCCATTGGGATGGCTCCTTGCTCTTGTTTTAATAGTCTTGCATGGTCTGCGGGACTAGGGAGGTCCAGGCCAGTCCCTGCACAGCCCCCTTTCCCTTCTCACTTCTGTATGTTACATGGAGTTTTTTATTTTCATAATGATGGCATTGATCAGGCAAATTTACCTTGCCACAGCAGTGTGGCAGTGCCGATTGGGACTTATTTGCATCTCACTTCGTTTGGTCATATGCTCTTCTGGATCTGTTATGTGTGCCGAGCGTGGCCCTCTGTGTGTGTGCCCCCTTCAATGATACCTGGCTTGTGCTAGGCAATTTGTCAGGTTTGTGTACTTCTATCATTCATCCTCATATCATTCCCCAAAGACCCACTAGAACCATGGTTCTCAATTGGTGGGTCGTGACCCAAAAGTGGGTCGCGACCCTGTGTTCAGTGGGTCACCACATGCCTTCCACTTTTCTAGGTGAGAGGCTCCTCTGCCTCCCCCTAGCACAGCACTGTCAGTTTTCGTGCCAAGCTGCCATTCAAAATATGCTGCCCTGCGCCGAGTGTCAGCTTAAGGTGGGATAGGATAGGGCTATGGCCACGAGGGAGCTCCATTCATACGCGCATTGCTTACAACTCTCTCGTGTGCCCTGTGGAGGTGCCTGGACTGGAGTGACGTCACATTCTGGCTCCCAGCACCTCTACAGGGCATGCAAGGGAGCTGTACCAGCAATGCACATATGGATGGAGCTCCATCACAGCACAGCAGCCCACACTGGACCCCAGGCTGAAGATCCACTCCAGTTCTCGTAAGATAGGGAGAATTTGTGACCTTAAAAATGTTTAACTTTTTTTGGAGTGTATATGTGTGTGTGAATGTCTGGGAGTGTGTGAGATTGTATCTGTAGTTCTGTATGGTACCCCAAACTCACCTCCCACCCACAGTTCGTACAGCTGCACCAGAACGCACTGTACCCTAATGCTGTGCGTTCCATTGCAGTGCGACTTGGGTCGCGACTTAATGACAAAGGACAAATGTGGGTCCTGAGGTTACACAGGTTGAGAACCACTCCACTAGAGTGAGGGGTGTGGTCTGGTGATGCAATCCTTTTCTTCTCAGTATATGGTAGGATAATGATTTGTTCCTGTTTATACTCTATGCCTATATGACCGCTAATGTTACTTTTAGCTCTTAAAAACATGTTAACCACTTTTTTTTATAAATTCTTTTATTTTTGTGACATAGCAAGTTATAACCTGTTAACCACTTGAAGTGCGGGGTGGTAAACCCCCTTCCTGTCCAGGCCATTTTCAGTATTCTGAGGTACTTTGCTGACATTTATTCCATCATGCAACGCTGTACTGAAATTCATTTTTGATCATTTTTCGGGGACAGATAGAGCTTTCTTTTGGTGGTATTTAATCATCACGGGGATTTTAATGTTTTACTATATTAAAAAAAAGTACCGAAAATATTGGGGAAAAAAACTGTTTTCCCTACATTAGGTTATAAAATATTTATTATTACATTTAGTATTAGGCAATTCACACCACATGTACATTACATTGAAATTGAATTCACATCACTTCTGCATTCAGTGATCGGATGGGAGTTAAACTGGTGGAATTGTGCTGATCTCCTTCCGGTCAGCCACAGAGACTAGCCGTGCTGGTCCGGGGATAGCTGAGCCCAGGATAGCCAGCAGAAGAGGGAGCATACTTCCCCGCACCATACAAGTGATCGGGTGGCTCTATAGCCACCCTGAACACCTGTATGTAACAAACATTTGTATGTATCATCATCACGGTGGGGATGGGGGGTGCACAGACGCGGGAAAGGTTTAAAAACGCCCACCCTCCGTTAGCAGTTAGCTGTCCGGCCGTTTAATTACAAGGGCTGGTCAGCAAGTGGTTATGCATATTCTCTGTGTTTTTTGTTTTTTTTGTATTACTGTGATTTCTGGTTTTCTCATATTTCTTTTTACCAATAAAACTTGTAACATAAATTTGTTGCTATTGCCAGATGCCCAGCCTCCCACATGTCCTTGGGATTCTTTACCTCATGGTCACATATGAGGAGCTGTGTCCTTAGTATCTGAATGTAGCGATCTTTCCACAGTCCAAGCAGCCCACTGCTTTTCTTCAACCAGCCAACCTTGTAGGTCTTCTTGGGTCCCGGGGGGGAGACACTGCTCCCGTCTATACCCTGAGCACAAATATATAAAAAGGTGTTAATATGAGCAGATGGGAAATACGGAAATGAGAACTCTCTTTTGGAATGTTGTCTGAATTTCATCTAAATTGCAGTTTTAATTATCAATTTTTAAAAAAGCATATGAAGAATATCTCTGAAATACATGAACATTTGACTGTGTTTTTATCCCTTAACTTGTACAGAGAAATACATGTTGATCTGCCAGAAATATACTTAGCTCTTAAGCCTGTTGTGGCCTGACAACATACAGCATTTTTGTGGACCGACTGGTGTCAGCCCTGCCCAGTATCCTTATGCTTAACTACTAAACCACTCCCACATTTCTACAACATAAATGCTAATCATTCTGTGGTTCAAAATAAGAACTAGGAGGGCTAAACAGACTCTTTGAGATAACACAGGAAGTAAGTAGGGCCAGATTTCCTGCTAGGCAAGGCACCCTTGACAGAGGGGTGGGCAGGGGTCAGAATTATAGATCTTTGATTGATCATGAAAAGAGAGCAATTGGACCTATTGAACCAATGAGTTGAGAATAAAGTTCCCGTTTCAAATGTGCTCAAATTTTGCTTACTTACAAAGACTTCTCTTCTCAACATAGATTTGTGAACCATGCCCTGCCCAAAACAATTTATTTCTTAAAAGAGGAATTGTAAAGATGGATAATGCTGGAAGGCTAAAAAGTATTCCCAAAGGCCCATGTTGCCCACTCTAAGACATTGTCAACAATAAATGTGGTAAAAAAGAAATACGGCGTAACTTCAAAAGAACCTGCAGAAAATTCTTCCACTTCCCAATGTCCCTGCTGTAAGAACAACACCAAACAAGAAAAGTGTCAGAGGAAGCCATACAAATTTGCTGCCCAAGTCATGTTTACAAAAGAGCACATGGTTATTCAACAACACTATCAGGGCAATGCTCTGTCAACTTTGTGGGAGGGACACATAGCATTATGTTGGGTACTAAAAGAAAAAAACACACCAACACCAACTGTGAAGCATAGAGGAAGCAATATTATGGCTTTGATGCCTCGGGGCCTGAGTAGCTTGCTTTTACAGAGGGAATTCAAAACTGTACCAGAAGAATGTCAGGGTAGTAGTGTGTCTCCTGAAGCTTAATAAATTTAGAGTAAACTGCATTGTAATGAGTCCTACATTGGAGTGGCCAAGTCAAATCCAGGCTACGATTCAAGCACAAGACGCACAAACAGGTAGAAAGACAGATCCATTGATATGGCAAACTCTCTGTTATCTAGTATTCAACGAACCAAAACTCTCATCTAACCAGAAAAAAACAATGCCCTGTGTACTCACTGTTCTGCTGATCTGCAGCATGTATTATCCTGGAAACTATTTTTTTTTTGTCTGTGATTACTTCCATATTAATATGACGTCAATACAGAGTTTATGTTATGATATGATGTGGTATGGGGTATGGCATTAGCTAGACTGATTTTTAATAGTAAATCTCAAGCAGCCAGAAGCTACATTCATCCGGAATCTACCATTCCCCGTGGATGGTGGATAACGGGGAGTTTACTGTATATCAATACAGACTAAGCCATACATATAAAGCAGGCTTGCCATACATATAAAGCAGAACTATGACCTCCAATCAAAAATATGTGCTGCAGCACCTGCACTTACAACTTTGCCTTACCCTCTGCAAAGTCCCACCTGTAGCTTACCAGTGGAGTTCACCTAATGCAGCTTCCTATGGTGGTGTGGCAACACTGCTGCACTGCTCCTGAATTTGAAGCAGATTTGCCACTCTCGTGTAAGTGTAGGCTTTTGAATTATGCCACATTACTGGTAGCGACATTTTGAACAGTGAGAGGTACTAAAGGTGTCACAACCACTAGATTGATGTTATGCTACCAGGTGCCCTGATAAAACTCATATAACTCATATGAAACTCAAATAAAATAACTTCACAATACCAGGCATAAACTGTGGGAAGGTCCCATGTCACAAAGTGGCAGAATATTACCATGTTACTTGGGGCCCTACTATAACTGCAGACCAGACCTAAATGAGTATTTCTCCCTCCACCCCACATCTGTCTGCACAGGAGTATGGTGGGTACGCTGCCAGCTTCTAAATAAAAGTCAATGATAGCCAGTCTGAAGCATTGCCTGGTCTGCTTTGCACAATGAGATAGTAAGCTGATTCATTGCTCGGCCACAATGTGCACAATAAGGGGTATTGTCAAGGCTGTGGGTGGCATTTACAGTCATAAAGACATACAAGAGATATTAGAAACGGGGTTCCCTGGAGCTGGCACCCCTCAGTCAGAGCCGCCTTTGCTTATAAATGCGACAAGCTCCATTTCATAAAATTATTATTAGAAAAAAAATATATAATAATATGATATAAAATGTTCATAAATCTATTATATATAACGGTGTGACACAATGGAAATCTGTCTGTAGGGGAGCCATTAAAGGAAGCTGTTCTGTGACAATACTTTTATATCATTTTCTTTTTTTCCTTAGATGGAATATTTATAATGACGATGTATGTTTCACTTCCAACATGTGCGGTCTGTCATGTATGTAAACAGCACTGAGGTCAGAAGTAGATGTAAAAACATGCAGGCAGATGGAATTTCATGCTGTTTATGAGAAAGTGAGAGGGAAATATGATGTGGAAATGAGCAGGTAACAAAGACAAAGGGAAATCACACAGAGGAAGCTGGATAAACAATGACAGATTGCCAGGAATAGCAGTGAGGAGTGGCTGAACAGAAGGGTGATAGGGAGAGGCACAGAGGACAGAGATGGAAACTATTTGGCCGATTCCTCCTATTTTGTTAGAACTATGCTGTTATCATAGACACCAATCTGGACTATAAAGTAGCATTAAACTCCATTTTTTCAATAATCAATCCAGATCGCATAAATATACATTGCCCAGCAAAGGATTTCTTTACGTTTTTGCCCAAGCACTTACAGTCACCAAATTTCCAAACAGCTCCAACTCTCTCAGCTCTGCTTTCCTGAATGTCCTGTCCAGTACAAGGTAGAAAATAGTAAGTCCCTCTGCACTCCTCACAGCGCTCCCGGCCCAAGTACTTGTAGTGGTGCTCGCAGTGACAATCACGGATGGCACTGTGCAACAAACAGTGGAAAGCAGAAATCACCAGCACTCAGTAAATATCTTTGATGTCCATTTAATCGGACCAATCTTCATGTACAATATAGCGACGTTTCGGGACCGCACAGGATCCCTTCATCATTGTCGCCCTGATGAAGGGATCCTGTGCGGTCCCAAAACGTCGCTATTTTGTACATGACAATTGACGTTTGGTCCAATTAAATGTACATCAAAGATATTTACTGAGTGCTGGTGATTTCTGCTTTCCACTTTCCAGTACAAGATCACAGTACAAGGGACAGAGCAGTCTGCAGCAGCCATCCATCTACTAGCATGGAGAAGAAAGAAGGGAGAGCAGGGAGCAGGGGAGTGACTTACCCTGCTGTGCCTATGTGTTTGTGGAGACACACACAGCTTACTAGCACACTGTAAAGCCACGATTGCGGCCGCGCATGCGCAAATAGACAACCGTGAGAATAGCGGGAAACTGCACATGCACGATAATCGCATCAAACTGCGCATGCGTGAGAATCGCGGCAAAATGCGCGGGAAGGCGCACAGGAAGTGAGGTAGCTGTCTTAAATTCTATGACTATTTAAGGAGGAGCCAGCTTCCCTTTCATTGCTGATGGTCTTGTCAGCTTGGTGCCTGTGACCTGTGTTCTGTGTTTATCACTTTGTCTTGCTTTGACTTGGATTGCCCTGGATTACGCTTCTGCTTGCTGCCAGCCCCTGACCCCGGCCTGTTCCCTGGATTTGCTATTGCCTTCTGAATCTGTACTTCGCTGCCCGACTGATATTGACCCTTGGCTTGCTGACCTCTCTACGAAGTTGTTCCTGCACGGTGTCTGTTTCCAGCCTCCGGCACTGGTGCTCCTCGTTGCCCTGCACCCTCCTGTTCCCATCTCCAGGGGTCGCAGGACACGAATCGCAAGAGACGCCTCCCCGTCTTCCGGTCCCGGCCTCAGGTACGTGATACACACAGAAGGGTGACTCCATAGTACCCTGCCACCCTAAAACAGGATTTCCGGGCCAGTGCTCAGGGGACCAGGCTGCAGGAAACTAACACTTTTATATGTCAAGAAGCAGCATCCATTGTAAGTGATATAACCAGCATTTGAAATAGCTTAAAAACCTTTTGACTTTAATTTTAAGTTAAACTTCTTCACAGATCTCATTCTGTGTCCTGTCTTGGTGCAACAAGTAATATATATTCATCATGGATTTCAAGTATACCTGTAGTCAGGTCAGAAGAGTGAATTCTAATATCCTATTAGAGAAAAATGACAGCTTACTGGAATTGTTTGCTTATTTCTGATGACTGTGTATAAGACGTCCTGCATATCTATTAAAATTACCATTTTGGAAATTGTCAAAATAAAAAAAATTGAGGTAAGAAATGACTAGTAGGTGCAGTTTTTTGGTAGTAGAGACTTTGCACATTGCAAGGGAACTTCCCCTTAGCTTGGTGAATGTGAGAAGATTTTGTACTTTACTAAAGGTCCCTCTCACTGTCTGTGTCTGTACAGTACATGCAGGTGGAATGTTGTCTGAATTTAATCTAAAATGCAGTGAATTTCTGACAATGTCAACAGTTTCATTTTGTACTTATCAAAACATTTATAAGAAAATGCTTCCAATAGTACATTTAACAGTCCAAAAGAGAGCAAATAAGAGCAGTTCATTGTTAGAGTTTACATACATGTTTTGGTAGTAGAGACTTTGGGGTTGATTTCCTGAAGGCAAATAGGTTTTTCACTTTCCAGGGGATTTTGCACATTACAAGGGAATCTCCTCTTAGCTTGGTGAATGTGGTGAAATTTCACTTTGCAAAGAACACCCAATCACTTGCAAGGAAAGTTAAAAAAAAAAATTGCCTGCACATAATGGTTGATGGAAG